TAGCCCTGATGTTTTGGAAAACACTACGTAGATCAGGCTAGCCTAGAACTCACAGAGATTCGCCTGCCTTTGCTTCCCAAATGCTGGGATTAAAGGTGTGTGCCACTATGCCCAGCGAGCCACACAGTGGGTCTGGTTCAACATGTCAGTGTCCTCAAAGGGGATTTCCTCACACAGGAAACTTGAGTACTATTAAGCTTATTTACCAAAACAACATACTTTGTATTTCTGGGCTCAAAGAAAATGGCCATTACAATAGTAATACCCGGCCAGGCAGTGGTGGCACATGCCTTTAATCCCACCTCTTGGGAGGTAGAGGCAGGCAGGTGGCTGAGTTCAGGGCCAGCCTGGTCTACAAAGTGAGTTCCAGGACAGCTAGCGGTTACACAGAGAAACCCTATATAGAAAAACAAAAAACGGCCAGGCAGTGGTGGCGCACGCCTTTGATCCCAGCACTCAGGAGGCAGAAGCAGGTGGATCTCTGTGAGTTCGAGGCCAGCCTGGTCTCCAGAGCGAGTGCCAGGATAGGCTCCAAAGCTATACAGAGAAACCCTATCTCGAAAAACATTAACAACAACAATAACACCCAAATGTTCCATGAGGGGCATCGTGATCGACAACAGCAGTGAGCTCCGGGACAAAGAAAGCCAAGTGCCTAGATCCAGGAATGGACCCAACTAAGGCCACACATACAACTCTGCACCTGCTGACCTTGGCTGCAGGGATGGACATTTACGTCCAATGATGGTCCCTTCACAGAAAATGACAAAATCCTGTCTCCTTTAACACTGAGAAAGATTATGGCCAAACATCATCTCAGTATTACAGAATTACTGCAGGATTCAGTACTGCAGGATAGACTGCAATAATTAATACAAGGCTCATGATCCCATCTTCATTGTATAGCTCAGAAAACAAAAAGCTCCAATATTATAGTTTTGCTTCGAGTCTTTAAAAAATATAAATCTATGTACTTGTGCTTATCACATACAAATCCCAAATAAGTCCTTGTGCTCTATCAACTTGTGTAAAACTAAGAAAAAACGGATCTTAAGAAAAAAGAAGCTGGACAGTTGATTCTGAAGCTTTGTAACTGTGACTAGCTTGAGCCAAGAAGGGTCCCTCCTGCCTAGCTGGCTGTACCCTTCTATATACCTAGGAAAGGGACCATCCTCTCCTGAGGTGCACACACAACTCCTGAAAGCTAAGCCAACATGTGAGGAGTGAACAACTTCACACAACACACTGAGCTGCCCTGCCCACCTTTCAGGGGGCTGAAGAAGTTGAAGAAGGACTCATTGGGCACTTGCTTGGTGATGGTTCGCACGGTGCCCCGACCCTTGTGCTTCTGCTTTTTCTTGATGGTTTTGACTGTGACATTTTTTCCCTTCTTCCAGTCAATTGTACACCTGCAGGGACAAGGCAGCTGTTATAGACACTTTCTACAAGAGAAATCCCATTACTACACAGGAAGGAACCACAGCCCTATGGAATGTCTGACACCATTAATCTGCAAACCAAGGAAAAGAACCCAAAGAACATCTGTATGGCAGCTTACAAAAGCTAGCCTGGTCCCACCATCCTGGAGTAACCAATGCTCAAAGCCTTACAGTTCTGAAATGACAACAGCACTCTACCACAGTGGTCCATAGGGATTCTGACATGTGTCTTCTGTACAAGACCGTCAAGTGTGCATAATGCTATAGAGTGCATCATCTGCTGTCTCTGAGCAAACTGAGGATTACCACTCACGTACCCAACTCACAAACAACTAAGTGAACAGGACATCAGGGGCTACTGTGTGCTCAGGAAGAGCCAAGCCCTCTCCCACATGACAGACTGTCCTCAGGAAAAGAGCTTCCCTAACTCTAACCCTAATTACTTCAAGCCTTTAAATCAAGTGGGATTTTAATGAAGCCCAAATCACTTAGTGCTGGTTCTAGTAAGCGTTTTACTTCAACAGTCAGTTTCCCAAACAGTGAGACAAGGAGTCAACTCTACGCTCTATCTCTACGGAGTAGTCTAGACTAACACTGACATGCATCAGGTGGCAAATGGTGTACCAAATTTCAAAGCTGTCACTGGACTGTGACCTGCACTGAACTTTACCACTCAACAAGTATTTTTGTTCTTCAGGGTTTGGGGCTTGCCGGGTAGTGGTGGCACATGCCTTTAATCCCAGCACTCAGGAGGCAGAGGCAGGCAGATCTCTGAGTTCGAGGCCAGTATGGTCTACAGAGCTAGTTCCAGGACAGTCAGAGCTGTTACACAGAGAAACCTTATCTCAGAAAAACAAAACAAAACAAACAAACAAACAACAACAACAAAAAAAGAATTTGGTGCATGGCTGGGCATGATGGTGGCCTTTAATCCCAGCACTTGGGAAACAGAGGCATGTGGAGCTAAGTTAGGCCTAGTCTACACAGCAAGTTTTAGGCCAGCCAGAGACACATGAGACCATGGCTCAAAAACAATCCAAAACAAAACAAACAAACAAAAAAACACTTCAGGATGGGCTAGAGAAATGGCTCAGAAGCCCAAGATTTGCTCCCCAGCACCACATGGCAGCTCACAACCATCTTTAACTCCAATTTCAGAGCATTTGATATCCTCTTCCAACCTTCACAGGGACTGCATGGATGTAGTACACAGATACACATGCAGACACAACATCCATACACACTAAAAATAAAAATCTTAAAAAAAAAAAGTTGTGGCTGAGGACACAATCTAATGGTAGAGCACTTGTTTTTATGTTTATGTGTGTGAGTTCCTGAGCTCAATCTTCAGTGCTACAGTGCCACAAAAAATAAATAAGCCAGGCAGTGGTGGCACCCACCTTTAATTGCAGTGCTTAGGAAGCAGAGGCAGGTGGGTCCCTGAGTGTTTGAACCCAGCCTGGTCTACAGAGTGATTTCTAGAAAGCCAAGGAAGGCTATACAGAAAACCTGTCTCACAAAGTAAATAAAAAGTAAACAAACAGAATCCCTTAAATTATGTCTAGAGAATTCAAGACCTGGCCCCATTCAAACAAACTGAACACAAACTTGCAAGTATATCTGAACTTCAGGACATGACATACCTTCCAGCTTTGGCCATGTCTACATTACAGCTTCCCAACTAAAAGCTACTGCACATAAACCCTGCAGGGCTTTTAAGTGCTGACTTTAAAAATGAGTGCTGGGAACAGGTGGTGGTGGTGCACACCGTTAGTCCCAGCACTCAGGAGGCAGAAGCAGGCAGATCTCTCTGAGTTAGAGACCAGCCTGGTCTACAAGAGCTAGTTCCAGGGCAGCCTCCAAAGCCACAGAGAAACCCTGCCTCGAAACAAAACAAAACAAAAAACAAACAAACAAACAAAAAAAAAAGTGCTGGGTCTGCACTCTAATCCTCCTAAATGTACAGCCATTTCTCCAGTCTCTAAGACTTTTTATATCATTCTCATTTTCTATCTTTTTTCTTTGCTATACAGCCTAGACTGGCCTTGAACACATGAACACCCTATACCTGACTCTTCATTTAAAAATTCCACAAGCATTACCACTTTTGTTTCAGAAAGACATATATCTTACCCATCACAGTCCACAATTTCAGGACCTTCAAAAGAAAACGGGTCAGCCTTGTCTGGTTCTGATTTCATCTTGTATGTTTTCGTCAGGACAGGATTGGTGAAGTAGTCGTTGGGTTCAAAGTGAAACTCTAGCACAAAAGACTGAAGCAAAGATGCAGAGTAAGAACTAACATCTATAAGAAGAGCTTAAGGGAACACCTCATAGCCCATCTCAGGGGCTGCAGACCTTCCCAATGAAATCAGCATTGGCAGCGCCACCCTTCTCCCTCTGTATGAAATCTGGATCTTATTCTGCGCCTTGAAAACAGGATCCTAGCTGGGCATTGGTGGCGCTCACCTTTAATCCCAGCACTCGGGAGGCAGAGGCAGGTGGATCTCTGTGAGTTTGAAGCCAGCCTGGTCTACAGAGCGAGTTCCAGGATAGACTCCAAAGTTACACAGAGAAACCCCGTCTCTAAAAACCAAACAAAAACAGGATCCTTTATGGGAGGTGGATAGAGAGCATAGAATCAGCTGCTCCTTTGAAAATGTACAGTATCGGGGCTGGAGAGATGGCTCAGCTGTTAAGAGCACTGACTGTTCTTCCAGAGGTCCTGAGTTCAATTCCCAGTAACCACATGGCGGCTCACAACCGCCTTGAATGAGATTTTGTGCCCTCTGCTGGCATGCAGGCAGAAGACTGTATATGTAACAAAATTAATAAATAAAATCTTAAAAAAAAAAAAAAAAAGGAAGTGTACAGTATCCAGAAAGCACACTGGGAGACAATACTTGCAGAAAAACAGGCATACCAAGGCCACATGGCATCAGGAAAAAAAGACAATTCACAAAAATGCAAATAAACAAGCAAAACTGGGGGTGATGGCATACCAAAAATTTAATGTGCCTGACCTATCATAGGTTGATTTTGGTAATTCAGCTCACTGGAGGAAGCAGGGTGATGTGTGCATTTACCCTCAACTTATTCATAAAGAGAAACAGACCCCAAAGCCACTTATCAAGACACAATGGGCTCATGAGTGCTTGCTCCTGAACTAGAGCACACAGACACTATCCCAGCTGGAAAGGACCATGTGACACACCCAGACCCTCGAAGGAAGAGCCCCTGGAAGAGGCAGTTTTGCTTTTTTCACTGTGCTTACTTTACCCAGAATTCAAAAAAGAAGCAACTACCAAAGGGGAGAGATCTGTGCCATGTGAATAAGCTATCTCAAAAAAACAAAAACAAAACAACCCCCCCCCCAAACCAGCCAGTCAAGGTGACATATGCCTGTAATCCCAGGACATGGGCAGCAGAGATAGGAGGGGGCCATAAATTTGAAGCCATCTTAGTCTAAGTCTATATTCTGGGTTAGTACAGGCTACATAAGCAAGACCCTATCTCACAATAATAAAAGAATTCAATGAAGGCAAAAGTAGTAACAACTAAATTTGGATGAACTGAAAGTAAAAACAACAGAGAACCTCTAAACTGCCTGTTCAGGAAAAGCAGAGATCAGGTAGCACAGCCAGAGCCTTAGCTGGAAAGGAAGCATCTGTGGCCACATGAATAAGAGGTAAGCCCGTGACCAAGAGAGGCAGCAAGCATGTTGAACTCCCACTATCCATGACCCATCTTCAGAGTGACAGCCAAATGTTATCTCTCACAAAGTAAAGACATTTGTACAGCTGCCCCTGAAGAACTGCTGATAAAGAAATACCACCTATACAGGCCTATTTCCATCTGTTAAACAGAGTCTGGGGTAGAGCTGAGAAGACAGAAACTTCTAGGTCCTTCTCTCAAGATCCCTTGCCTAGCCCCTCATACCATGTGTGTCTCCAAGACCTGAAACTGAAAGCCAACAGCCAGCCAGTCAGTCATGTGTCACTGGAAATCCTGTAGCACTGGAATGGAACCCACCAACCACAGTAAGGCTGACAGATTACGAACAGTGCACAAGCCCTGAAAATCCTATGTTAAGCCCATCTTCCCAAAGGCCAGACCACCTCCCATGTTTGAAGCTATTTCAGGGTAGTTTTCAGTCACATCTACAATGGTTACTTTAGGCCAAATCCAGCAAGTTACTCTCCTTAGTATCTAAATTTCTGTACCATTGTTGCTCATGTTTGTATATGCTCTTCCAATTCTGTTAAGATGGGATCTCACTGTGCTGTGATTCAGGCTGGTCCTGACTGCCTATATTCAAGTAATCCGTCTACCTCCTGGGATTACAAACTCATGCCACAATGCCCTACCACCTCCATGTGACACTTGGGAAAAATATGGTGTGCTGATCTCCACCAAACAAAAAAATCCAGCATCTAAATCGGAAGCTATCCAGGTGATAACCACAGCCCAGTAATTACTAGCCTGTAGCCAGCCTCGGGAAAGGACATGGTCTGTTATCAGCCAAATATCCAGCTCACATTGCCAACTGCAGCACCAAGAGAAGTCTGATGTCTGTTGAGCAGGCACACTCAGGAATGCCCAAATTTGACAAGAATCAGACCTTTTAACACCTTAGTCAATCAGGAAGGAGCTTGATCAGTACTCACCATAGGCTGTCCAGGGTCTGAAAACTTCACTTTAATATCTTGCAGATGTTTCAAGATCGGTTCATCATATTCCTAACAGACAGAGAACCACAGATCATGGCAGTCACACTTGCATATGTCCCAGATTCTGGGCATTTGTCCTTCCTGGAATTCTGTTTTTGTCCAGTAGTAACTTCTGGAAAGCAATGTGTATCTCTGGTGGCGGCAACGACATGCCAAGAATCAGCTGCTACCTGTCTCTAGAGCAACACCAATGCTGGCTGCAGCTCGCCTGCCACTACTTGACACTGCAGTTGGCACAGTGCTACCAAGAATTCTGGCTACCAGCATCTGAGATGACAAAGCAAAAGGCTTAGTGTCAGAAGAAAATGGCTCAAGTTAGTTGCAAGTCTTCCTGTACAGTATCCACCAGGGACAATAAATCTGCATATACCACTTCTGTAAGATCACAGAACGCCATAATGTACAAGAGCCAACAACTTGTGTGGCTCTATGCTTTACACAGTGACTATTGCTTAGACTTGTACCGTAAAGCTAAAGGAATGAAAAGACTTGGATTCTCAAAAAACGTACACTAATGACAGGTGTAGATTGTTAATTTCTTCACCCTGAGATTGGCATCGAGTCCCAGAATTTAAGGTTCTAAAGTTCTAAGAATTAAGCCCACTAAAGGTTATCATCCTAATTTAAGCTCTTTGGACATGATACAATAAAACCAAACCAGGACAAGGAGGACACCTAGTAGGCATTTAAAAGGAGAAAGAAAAAAAAAAAAAAAATCCAAAGACAGTTGTGGAAGCAGGCTATACCAAAAGCAGTCACATCTCTGATGCTGACAGAGGGAGCATAGAGATCTCCACTGATGTCTCACATGCTATGTACCTGATCTGAATGTCTAGCACCCTATCATCCATCTATTAGCACATCAAATGAGAACCAATATGGAGATGTAAGACTCTTCCCAGACTCCCTGCTTTCACACAGGAAGAACTATGAACAAGGTCTTAAGGGTACAGTGCTGGACTCTGCAGGAGGTACATGAGACTGCCTCTCAAACTCTGGTGTGAACAGAACTGTCAGCCTTGCCAAGAACCGCATGCAAAAGAGAATGTGGCCCCTCCAGCAAAGACCACACTCTCTAGGGATCAGGACCATGCCCCCTAGGGATCAGGGTTGCTGTCCAAGTGCCAAGTCCCAGGAGACTTTTTATCCTCCTACAAGCACCTCCCAGCACCCAGGTAAGCAGTGTGTGAATAATACAAGGCAAGTCCCTCACCCCAATCTCTCCCCACTTACACCCACTGGGCATAAGTCCCTCACCTGCACCAGCTCGCTAAGCATATCTACGTTTCTGAAGATGGTGAACCAGAACTCAGGGATGCCTTTGGGGTTCAGCTCTTCTGCTGTTGCTGCTTCTTTCTCAGCTATAACTACTTTATTCTTCATATCTCCCTACAAAACAGATTCAAAACACAAGTCATTGAAAACACAAATTTATACACAGCTCAAGTCTTATTGAAAGACATTATTTTAGGGTCCATCACACATTTCCTTTTCCTTTTGTGTGTCTCCAAACCATGGAGTTGGAAAAGGTATTCATGGCACTATGTCTATATGTAATTTCACAACGAAATGTCCTATCCAGGGGAGAAAACTGGAAAGGTGGCAAATTACCACCAGACTTGTGAAAGAATAGCCAGTCTGTCTTGGTGAGCTTCCTGTTATCATACAATGAATAGCTTCCAGCAGACACTGGAAGCCATTCATTACCATCAAGGTGGAAAAAACCCCAGTCCAGGCCAGATGTGGTAGCACACACCTGCTATCCCAGCACTTGAGAGGCAGAGGCATGAATGAGGACTACTGTAAATTTGAGGGCAGCCTTGTCTACATAGCAAGTTCCAGTCCAACCAAGGCCATATAATGGAATCCGGGAAGGAGGGAGGGTGAGGAGAAAAAGAAGTAACAAAATCCAAGAAAACCTTGTTTGCTGTAGCAGCATTATATAATCAGCAAACTTGGGCATGCAGTTCCCAGGTGGAAAGAGCACACAAGGGCAGACATACTGAGCATTGTGACCAGAAAGGTCATAAAACTCCATTAAGGAGACTTGTAATACAGCCTTAGGAAGAAGGTAATTAAACCAAGTGAATTCTGAATGCTTGTCACAATAGCCTGCTATGACTGAAATACAGAGATTGCTAAACCATCAAACTGCACTTTTTGTAGTCATAAGGAACAAACATTCAGATCCATAGCTTCAACAAGATTCTTCCTATGTTTAAAAGAGTATCTCTTGCTGAGTGTGGTGGTGTATGCCATCTGAGTTTGAGGTCAGCCTGGTCTACACAGTGAGTTCCATGTCAGGCAGGACTACAAAACAAAAACAAACTTTTACATATAGCCACAAAAATTTAATGTATTTCAAAAAGATTCCTAAAAGATAATTCTACTGAACCAAAGCTACCTGTTATTTAAATACAAAATTAGGCTGACAGGGGCTTGGGTGTGCCTCAGTGGTGGAAAACCTGCCTTTTGCTCATGAGCCTCTGGGTTACATCCCTAGTATCTTTAAGAAAGCAAACAAAAGCCGGACAGTGGTGGCACACACCATTAATCCCAGCACTCGAGAGGCACAGACAGGTGGATCTCTGAGTTCGAGGCCAGACTGGTCTACAGAGCGAGATCCAGGACAAGCACCAAAACTACAGAGAAACCCTGTCTCGAAAAACCAAATAAATAAATAAAATTTTTAAAAAGCTGGGGGGGGGGGCAAGCAAACCAGGATAGAAGTCAAAGTTAACTCTGTACCATGCTGGAACTTTCCATGGCATTTTAATGAGACCGTCATAGTAAATGGATAGGACATCATGATACTGGTCATTCGCTCACCTGTTGGTCTAGAGTGAGGCTGAGCACAGCCTGAGGTCTCCAGATGGTTCCTCATATGCTTAACATTCCCTACTGAGGAGGAACATGTGCAGTCCCCACCCATACTAACCTCCACCTCCTCTGGGCTCAGACTCTCACTGGTGTTAATTACAGTTAGTTTTGTTCTGGAGACAGAGTCTCACTATGTATGTAGACCAGGCTGGCCTGTTTCTCTATAGTGCTGGGGTAAGAAACATGTTCCATCAAGTCTGGCACACTACAATCAATTTTTGCCTACCTGACCTGTATTTCAATCCTGTGTTGCATAGACCACTGAGAAGGGGCCACAACTCACTTATGATAACCAACAGCACTGCCTCAGATGCCAAAGTGTCACCATGGACCCATGCACCCAGTGGAAGAGAAGGGAACTACTACAGGCCTACTCTACAAAGCTTTGCTGACAGAAACCATGAGTAGCAGAATAAGGCCTTTAGTTCACCATCCAATACATAAAAGTAACTAGGATTAAACAACACTACACAACAGAAACTCACAGCCAACTTGTCTTCTTCCTCATTCTCACTGTGCCACGCTGACTCCGCATCTGTGGGCTCCACATCACCAGTGATGAATTCTCTTCTCTGCATTAAAAGCCAAGAGTCCATCAGCACTTTAGGCTCTCTGCAAACTCAAAAGCTAAGATATTTACTCAGGCCTCTGAAAAGACAGTCATGAAGTCCCTGAGTGGTACCATGTCTCAACCCACAGCAGCAACCAAATGAGGCAAGCACATCAACAGCACACACCTTGTCAAACAGAGGCTGGTACAAGGCTGCATACTTCCTCTCCAGGTCGTGAACTTCCTCGTAGAACTTGGCTTCTATATGCGCACACCTCACCTGCAGCTGCTTCAGAGCATTAATTCTCCTTTTGACAGCTTTGGGTAAACTACAAGGGAACGGGAAATAAAACACCTAGTGCCAGCAAACAGCCACCACACACAACACCCTGCCTATAAAGAGCTGCTAAAACCCCACATGCAAACAAGCCAAAAGAAAAGAACGGACTGCTTGTTAAGCTAGGTGATGTATGCCTTTAATTCCATCAGAAGCAGGTGGATCTCTGTGAGCCTAAGGCCAGCCTGGTCTACTTAAGAAGTTCCAGGACAGCTGGGCGGTAGCGGTGAATACCTTTAATCCCAGCATTTGGGAGGCGGAGGCAGAGGCAGAGGCAGAGGCAGGCAGATCTCTGGGAGGTTCGAGGCCAGCCTGGTCTACAAAGAGAGTTCCAGGACAGCCATGGCTGCCTCAAAAAATAAACAAACAAATAAACAAATAAAACAAAACAAAAAAGCAGAAATGGGGGATCAGTTTATAAAATTGTTCTTTTGTCTGAACCAAACTGGTGATGAAAACAGACCAAAGGAAGCTGGGCACACTTGCTCCTCCACATGGGAAGGCCAAAACAGTAAGAGTAGCAAGAGCAAAAGGCTAATCTGGGCTAAACAGAGACCAAGGATAAAGAGTGTAGCTCACAGGAAAGCACTAACCTAACATGCAGATAGATAGTCCTTGGTTCAATTCCCATCAAGGGGAGAGTGGGGGTGGAGCTAGGCATGAAGTTATGCACCTATGATCTTAACACTTGAGGAAGTCAATGTAGAAGATCAGGTATTTAAGGCTATCTTTGGCTACTAGAGACTTCAATGCCAGCCTGGGCTACATGAGATTCTGTCTCTCAAAAAAAAAAAAAAAAAGACCAGAGTTGGAGAGATCACTCACTCACAGTTATGACTACTTGCTGCTCTTACAGAAGACCCAAGTTCAATTCCTAACACTCAGGATGAGTGGCTTAGAACCACCTAGAACGCCATATAAGGGCAATCTGATGCCTCTGTCCTCTATGGGCATTTACACTCAAATGTGTGTTTGCATACATACACACACACTTAATTTAAAACAAACAAAAACCCACCAAAGTGGGTGAAAGCACTTGCTGCCAAGTCTAAAGACCTGAGTTAGGTCTCTGAGAATCATTAGGTTGAAGGAGAAAATCAACTCCTTCAAATTGTCCTCTAACCTCTACATGTGCACAATAGGATGAAATAATAAATAGCAAAAGCAAAATCCCCAGACAAGGACCAGACACAGGTAAGCTGATAGTAGGCACACAGACCCTGATGTTGGTTGTCTGAAAATCATGAACACATGTAGACACTCACATACAATTTTCTCTATTCATACCAGCTGACAATTTCTTTGCCTTTGTTCCAGAGTTCAATTTTTTTGTTTGTATAAACACTCTTAAATTAAAACAAACAAACAAACAAAAAAACCACGCCGGGCAGTGGTAGCACATGTCTTTAATCCCAGCACTCAGGAAGCAGAGACAGGAAGGTATCAAGTTCTAAGGCCAAACTGGTCTAGATTAAGCTCCAGAACAGCTAGGGCTACACAGAGAAACCATGTCTTGAAAAACCAGGGAAAGAAAGAAAGAAAGAAAGAAAGAAAGGAAGGAAGGAAGGAAGGAAGGAAGGAAGGAAGGAAGGAAGGAAGGAAGGGAGGAAATTTTAACCTATAAAACTGTTTAAAACCCAAAAAAATTGTGCCCCCAGGTGAAAACTTGCTCACAGTAAATCTGAATACTGGCCCAAGCACCATTCAAGGTCAACACATATATAAGGCTGTGCTCACAAACTGTCACCATCCCAGTGAGCAAATGCCACTCTATATGCATACTTACAAAAGCCAGAAACCAGACACCATTCTCAACTCCCTCACTCCAGCCTGCCACCTACTCTACTAAACAAAACTGCCTATTAGGTACCTGTGCATTAGAGGCTGAACTCGACCCAGTACAAGAAAAAGCAAAGCAGGACAAAGACAAACTGCATCCACTATGTAAACCCAGAAAGGCCTAAGTGGACACAAGAAAATGTTCAGTGTCTTCTCCAGTTGTAACAGCCAAGTCTTGCCTAACTATATTCATGGAGACTGAGGTGGCTGACCTCTTCCAGAAATCAGACAGAGGCCCTGGGAAGTGCTACCGAGTAGACATCTCAATATACAATATAGGCCTCCTAACAAGGGTAAAGGTGTGGATTTCCAGCAGCCAGACAGCACTCTACTCTACCAGCACTATATTAGCTGAGTTCTCTTCAAGCCACAAGGTGGCACTGTGCAGCACCAAGCAGACAAGATGAGCTGGCTGATCCTGAGAAATGAAAACCACACTTGTTCCTACTCTGAGGCATGGAGATGTTTGTTCTATCGCTTGACATCTCATTGGCAATGTACTCACGTTTCTATGTAGCTAGAAGGAGTGTGAGAGACGTTGTCAAGACGTTCCTGCAAAGCTGCCAGCACTTGTGGGTTCTGCATCACCTGGTCTGTGAGCTTTTCTGTAAGTTGGAAACAAGACCAGTTATTTTGCAGCTAAGAACCCAAACATCAACATGGATCTTGGGCTAAGCAAGGAGATGCCATGCCAAGACCTTATCTCAAAATAAAAAACTCTACAGCTGGGGCTATAACTCAATAGTAGAATGCTTACCTAGCACATGAAGCCCTGGGGCTCAATCCTTACCACCACAACAAATGTGCTTTAGAAGTACACATTCCTACTGGGTAGTGGTGGCCCACACCTTTAATCCCAGCACTTGGGAGGCAGAGGCAGGTGAATTTGAGGCCAGCCTGGTATACAAAATGAGTTCCAGGATAGCCAGAACTACACAGAGAAACCCTGCCTCAAAAATAAAGTAAACAAACAAACAGGTATACATTCCATAGGCCAAATTTAGGTCAATGGTCACTTTATGTTAGGGCTGGGTAAAGAAAAAAACAAAAAACAAAAAACAAAAACCACAAACCTTCACAGCCTCAGACCACATTTGCTTCTTCAAAAAAGGTTAAAGTAAATAAATAAAACCCCAGCCAGGCATTGGTGGCGCATGCCTTTAATCCCAGCACTCGAGGCAGAGGCAGGCAGATCTCTGTGAGTTCGAGGCCAGCCTGGTCTCCAGAGCGAGTGCCAGGATAGGCTCCAAAGCTACACAGAAAAACCCTGTCTCGAAAATAAAAAATAAAAAAATAAACAAACAAATAAAACCCCTACAAATGTCTACTTAGCTTTGCTTAGCTACTAATTTCTAGAAATAATAAAGTACTTGTTTAGAAACTTGTACCTTAAAAGTATCTTCCTTAGTCAGACAGAGGCTTCTGCCTGTAACCAGCTAAACTCTAAACCCTACCTGAGATCACTAACTACCAACTTCAGGGGTCTACTTTTAGTTATACATTGCTCCCTAGTTCCATTGGTGTTTGGAAGTCAGGGACAGGGACAAGATCAGCTCCTAAAGTGAAACTGCATCCACCCACTTCTCAAAGAGATGGTTCTCCCCAGCTTGCCCTCTTCCTGGAAAGCCTTTTCCCAAAAACCCACCTCCTGCAAAAAGTACTCTGACCACCTTGCTTCTGACAGCTCACATGCCTTTGTTCTGGACGTGTAACACTGACCGGTTATTTAGAACCCATTCCCCAAATTAACCAGGAGACACCAACAAGAGAGTAACTGTTCTTCACTTGGTGATGGGAGTTGATCTATTTCCCTCTCATATAGTCCAAGCCAGCTTGAAATTTGAGACCTTCCTGCTTGGACTCCCCAAGCAGGGATTTTTCAGTCTCCACACCCAGCTCAGATTAAACTTTTTTGCATTTTATCATCATTATTATGTGTATATGTTCAATCAGAAATGCAATGTGCACGAGAAGTGTACATGCTCCACAGCCTGCATGTGGAGGTCAGGGGATCACTTCTGGGAGTTGGCTCTTGCATCCCAGTGGGTTCTGGGGACAAACTCAGGGTGCCAGATTTGCATGGCAAGCAATGCTATAAGCTGAATCACTTTGCTAACCCAACCTATGGAGATTTCTTCATGGGGAAAGACAGTGAGTGTCCATTTATAGACACAACAATACATCTAGGTTTTCCTTCAAAATAAGCAGGTGAGGGAAGTAGAGGGTGCCCAGGTCATGTAGAGGCCAACACTGGGGCAGTGTTGTGTTGTTCTCCTTCATAGAGTTTGAATTTCTAATCACTAAATGAAGTACTGGTATTTGTCTTAGACAGATACTCTTTATTGCTACTATAATTACTATAACAAGTGGTTCTGGAAGAGATTCCCAGACACACATGGAAACCCTCAATCACTGCTTCATCCATTGCACTGACCTGTATTACTGGCATTTTTAGCAGCTTCCACAGAATCTGCAGGGCTTCCATCTGAAAGACTAAAACAAGTTTACAAAGTATTATAAACAGAGTTCTAAAGACAGCATTTTCAGTGTTTTTCCAATGTATTAGGGATCTGTGTAGCAAAGAACTTCAGGTAAGGTGAAGATAACACTAGCTAGAGATGGTGGCACATGCCTTTAATCCTAGCACTTGGAAGAGGCAGGCGTATTTCTGAGTTCAAGGCCAGCTCTCTCTACATACTGAGTTTCCAGGACAGCTAGAGCTATATCATGAGACCTTTGGGGACAGGGGCAGGGCACAACAAACAAAAAACAAAAAAGACAAACCTGACATTCACGTGTTATATAAAGGAGACTTCCTTCTGAAAAGATCATATCCACCCAACTCCCCTTCCAACACACAGGCTGCTTGCTCTGCACTAATCTGCACCCTTGCCAATGCTTAATTTCCCCTTTATTTTGAGACAAGGTCTAATTCAGTAGCCCCAGCTTAATCTCAAAACAAACAAACAAACAAACAAAAAAGCCTACGTGCCATGTGTGGTGACTTATACCTTTAATCCCAGCACTTAGGAACAGAGGAAAGTAGATCTCTGAGAGTTTTGCACAAGCCCAGTGTACACAGGAGTTCTAGGCCACCCAGGCTATACATTGAGACTCTGTCTTAAAAACCAAACAAAACCCAAGAACAAAAATTATGTTTATGCATATGCCCATATGTAGGTATGTGGACGAGTGCAATGCCAGTGGAGGCTGGCCAGAAGAGGACCAGATCCCCAGAACTGAAGCTTGTGAGCTGCCTAATGTGAGTGCTGGGAACCAAACTTAGGTCTTTGCAAGAGTGGCACACAATCTTAACTCCCAAGTCATCTTTCCAGCCCTCTAATTTTTATTTTGATAGTTAATCCCTTGATTGTATAATTGGCCTTAAACCACACCACCTATATAACATGCTACCATATGGTCAGCAGCGCACACAAGTGACCTTGTACAGTAGACACAATGGTCACATTGCTCTGAATGCCAACCATGCAGCATCACTGAAAGCAATGGGCTTCACAACTACCAGAGAACCATGTATACCTTCCTGAAGACAAAGTTCTACAAGCCCATCCAAGGCATCTCTGTAACATGAATGCAGACGGAGCTATGAGGAAATGAAAGGCAAATACAAGCAAAACATACTGGCACACGTGTATCACAATGCCATGATGAAATTATTTTACATGCCAACTAAAAAAATTTTAAAAACCAGGCACTGGCTGGGTGGTGGTGGCACACGCCTTTAATTCTAGCACTCAGGAGGCAGAGGCAGTTGGATCTATATGAGTTCAAGGCTAGTCTGGTCTACAGAGTGAGTTCCAGGACAGCCACGGCTACACAAAGAAACCCTGTCTTGAAACAAAACAAAACAACAACAACAAAAAAATAAATACATTCAACCAATACGGACCTTGACCATCCCCCTCCCAATCCTTTCCCCATCCCTCATAGGTATATCAGGTTAATGGACTTCAACAAGGGTAGGGAAGCAGGGGCTAATAATGTCAGGAAGCACAGAAACTGTATTTACACAAGGTCTTCAAATATCAGTGTTTGAGACAGTATCTGACACCAATTTCTTTGTCAGCAAAAGGGAGAAAAAAAGCCATTTCCACTTGGAATTTAAAATATTTAACTTTTAAATTCTAGTTTCTGAAATACAGTGGACACTTGCTCCCTACCTAAACCTAAATCCAATAAACAAAGTCCATTTTGGCTTACCTGTTTTCTGCCATCTGAACGTCTTTGTCCCCTAAAAATGAGAAAGTTAACAGTTACATTCACAAAAAAATGTTGTATTGCTCTTCCAACACCACCTACTGATGGCATTCTACCAAACGTAGCAGTGGAAACCTTTCTGCAGGTGAAGAAAGGCAATGTCCCAGACATGACCTGAAGTTATTTGAGCACACAGGTGTCTAATGTTATAGACAGGTACCCTTAAAATCTATGTCTCACTGCACATAGTAGTGTATACGTTTACTCTCAACAACTGGGAGGCAGGTGCAAGCAGATCTCTGTAAATCTGAGGCCAGCCTGATCTACATAGGCAGTTCTTGGTCAGATAGGGCTACAATAGTAAGACCAAGTCAAAAAATAAAATTAAATAAATCTAGGTTTCACCTCCTGCATGGTTTACAACTTTTTATTTTTTTGAGAAAGGATCTCGTGTATCCCAGATTGGCTTCCCACTTGCCATGCAGCTGATGACCCAATTTCTGACTCTGATTCCACCTCCCCCGTACTGGGCTTATGCAGTGCTGGGTATCAAACCCAGGGCTTCATGCATGATAAACTAAGCTAGAGCCATCAAATTCTTACTGACACAAAAGTGACCAGACTTCACGGTAAGAAAACAAAATCCTAATCTGCCTTCTTTCTACAATAAATCTAACAGATCCACATAGCAACTCTAACCCAAACAATTCAAAAGCATTCACTCTCAAATACAGAGTAATGTTAATTCTATCTGTCCATATCTTTTATGTCATCTGTATTTAAAACACACATGACTACTGTGTAAGAATGCTTGATCTCAGGGCAGCCTCCTTACTTTAAAGGTATAATGAATTGAGGGACCATACAAAGCTCCTCACACTTGCCCAGTGCACACAAACAAGACTTTCTGAAAGCTGTGCTGGTACTAGGAAAACAGGAGACTTAGGAAAAACGGTTCCAGCAAGAGTGATGCACAACTGTTTCATAGTTAACTCAGTTCTATCTACTATTAGATTTTTATTGTTTCAAAATAAAACGTGTGCAAATGATCCATGCCTTTAACCCCAGGGTTTGGTAGGCATTGGCAAGTACTCAAGGACTGATACCCTGCTCTACATATTGAGGTTCAGGCCAGTGAAACCCTGTATCAAAACAAATTCAAAATTAAATGCACAAAAACACTATCACATGGTTATTGTCTTTGTTTTTTCAAGACAGGGTTTTTGTTTTTCCAGGAACACTCTGTAGAGCAGGCTGACCTCAAACTCAAAGATCCATCTGCCTCTGCCTTGCAAATGCTGAATGCTGGAATCACCACACCCCTACAACTCAACTTCTGTCTTTTTGTTTGTTTGTTTTTCAAGACAGGGTACACCTGTGTAGCCCTAGCTATCCTGGAACTTTCTCTGCAGATCAGAAATCTGCTTGCCTGCCTGCCTCCCAGAGTGTGGGGATTAAAGGCATGCACCAGCACCACCCAGCTATTGTCTTTTAAAAACTATTTTAAGGAAGAAAAAAAAAAGAGTAAGGCAACAGCTGCAGATGACCAGGCCCACAGCACTACAGCAGCTTCCCACTCCTCGGCTTTACCTCCATCACCTCCAAAGAACATTCCACAGACTTAGCATCTTCTTTGGAGTCCAAACTCACTGACCACAGGATCTACATTCCTATAGTCATCCTACAAAGCCCACCATTCTCAGCGCCAGCAAACACTACCACCCCAGATGGCCAAGTCTGAGGTTTTTCTACCATACACTTTAGGTTTTACTTAGTCAAATATGGTTCCACACCCCTAGATATTAACTTGGAAAGATTTTCATGCAGGATTTCTCACTCAAAGAATGAGCATATCCCAATAAATATTGCTGAGCTGGTAGCATACTGGTACTCCCTACACTTTGGCTATGTAACTACAGTCAGTACCTCATTACCTACCTATGACCTTCTCTAGACCACAACTCCAGTCTACCATCCTTTTCCCCAGCTATTCCAGCCTTCCTCTGCACCTAGGTCTCACCATCCATAACCTAGAAGTCATACCCACCTGAAGCAATTATGAAGATCAATTGCCTCACCATAGTGGCACCACATGCCTACCCACCTCTATGACACATGCATACAGACTGTCTTGCCCTGTCATTCTATCCCCTGCACACTGAGACCAAAGCAAAGTGCTAGCACAAGCTAGAGTTCACTCAGCCATGCTTCAGCACCATCCATTATTGTGTTTACCAAACATTGAAAGTCATAAAGAGCTATCAATCTGCTGGTGTGAGGCTGGAATGATAGGTTTAATGCTGGTCTTATGAAGCCACATTACTAAGCCTTGTCAGGAAAACTACTTTTAAAAGGCATCAAGAGTCAGACATAATGATGCATGCCTGTAACTCCAAGACTTGGAAGGTATGGTTATGCTGGCTATATGGTTAAGTTAGAGGCCAGCCTGGGCTACAGAAGTATCTATCTTAAAACAAAACAAAACCTTGCAATCAAGTTAAATTAGAACAGACACCAGAGGACCCTAAGTTAATAAAATACAGAGGTTTAGGTTCCCTTCCAGGGCCAACATGCTGCTTTTCAGCAAGATCACAACAGCCCGACTATAGATTTATTTCCTTATTTCCTTTTTGTTCCAAACATCAAAAACTTTTCAAAGGAAAAGTTTTTAAACTTTTACAGCAAAGTTTAAACTGGCCACTTTTATTTTATTTTATTTTTTGGTTTTTCGAGACAGGGGTTCTCTGTGTAGCTTTGGAGCCTATCCTGGCACTTGCTCTGGAGACCAGGCTGGTCTCGCCCTCACAGAGATCCTCTGCCTCTGCCTCCTGAGTGCTGGGATTAAAGGCGTGGCCACCAACGCCCAGCTAAACTGGCCACTTCTTAAAGATTAAAAAACAAACTTTTTTATGGAAATGTAGCATGTGTACAATACCCGAAGAGGCCAGAAGAGGACACCAGATCCTCCTGTAACTGGATTCCAGATGGCGTTGAGCCACCACATAGGTCTTGAGAACCAAACCCATGTCCTCTGCAAGAGCAACCAGAGCTTTTTTTTTTTGGTCCTCAAAGTCTTAACACAAGCAAATGAGTTGGGAGGCGCAGATGCCTTTCTTTAGTCCCAGCATTTGGAAGGCAGAGGAAGGTGGCTCTCTCTGAGTTCGAGGCCAGCCTTATCTGCAAAGCAAGGACAGCCAGGACTGTTGCACACACACAAAAAACCCATCTTAAAAAAAAAAAAAAAAAAAAGGCATGAGAGTAAGTGATTACTATTACCTAAACTAGCCTGAAGAGGTAAGTTGTCCTCTGACCTCTGCATTTGGCATATATCCATGTTATGTGCATGCACATGAAGAAACCCTAAAGCACAGTAACTTGGTTCACAGAAAGATGGCAGGATGACCTAGTAAAGCAAAGCTAAGGATGTGTGTTCAGGTCCTATAGGAGTACTGACTTGCAGCAATTTAGGACCATGTCAAAGGAATAAAGGAATGACCTGTTCAAAAAAGGAATCAGAAAAGGCCCCTAGAACATCCCAATTTCCCCTGGCCAGTGAGTGAGGTGCAGACACTGGACATAGCTCATTACTCCTAGTATGCTAGGTGTACATGGAAACACTTAAAGCCCCTGGGAACTGACTCAGATTCCCAGATGCATACAATGTGTTGCTAACTGGGCTGGAGATGAAGCTCGGTAGTAAATCACTACCCAGCGAGCAGAGTGCCTGGGTCCATTCCCAAAAAAGAAAATGCTAATAGTCAACATTCATTTATTCTTTTAATTTTCGAGTTGTTAAAAACAAAAGGGAGCCAGGAAGATTGCTTTTATTTCAAGCCTGGAATACACAAAACCTTGTCTCAAACACTGTTGTAATTTCCTGCCCCTAACTAAAAGGGATAGAGTGTATCTGATCCTAAACACACACCACTAGTCTTTATTTTGTTTAAACTAATGTAAATTATACTTAATGTTCTTTCTCTCTCTCTCTCTCTCTCTCTCTCTCTCTCTCTCTCTCCCCCCCCCCTCCCCCACACACACACACCCACCCACACACACACACACACACACACACACATCCTCCCTTTATCTTTCAGCCTTTATCACAAAATTTAACTAAACCAGGTATGATGGCTTATCTCTACAATCTCAGCACACTGGAGGCTGAAACCGTAAGTCAGAATATTAAGGCCAGCCTCAACTGAAACAGGAGACCCTCTCTCAGAAAAAAATAAAATAAACCACAGGAAGTCAGACATAGTAGTACACACCCATAGGGCACTGAGGGAGTGTGACTGAGGTCAGGCTGTCTCAAAAACCCCAAGACACGCACCAAGCCTGGGTTTGACAACATCAGCTACATAGAAAATTCCAGGCCGTCTAGGGCCTTGTTTTTTTTAAAAACAATAACAAAACAGGAGTCCCCCAAGTGTTGACAGAGGCAGATGTTGAAATAATATAGCTGCAGGTTTTGAAAGATAACATGACCCTGGCAATACCTTGAGACTCTATGCTTCTAATCTCTGAACTATAAGACAATAAATGTGCTATCTGAAGCAAAACTGAAAAAGTTATTATTTGACAATGTTTTATTTTGGGGAGATGTGTGTGATACTGTGTGCCTTTGTGCACACATAGGTGGAGGTCAAAAGACATAAGGTGTCCTGCACTACCACTTTCCTCAAGTCTCAATGAACTTAAAAGATAGCCTTAAGCTAGGCCACACCTGGCTTTCCACATTGGTGCTCAGGTCCAAACCGAGGTTCTCATGTTTGTGTATCTAGTGCTCTCACCACATTATTTTATTTATTGTGTATGTGGGGTGTTTATGTCATGCACATGTAGGTCACAGGACAACTTTCATGTGTAGGTTCTCACCTTTCACTATGTGGGGCCAGGGGACACATTCAGGTCATCAGGGTTGGCACTGACAGCAGGCATCTTTGCCAGCTGAGCCTTCCTGTTAGCCCATAATATTGTTTTTCTTTTCTTTTTCTTTTTTTTTTAAAAAAGATTTATTTATTATGTATATAGTGTTCTGCTTGCAAGTATGCCTACATGCCAGAAGAGGGCACCACATCTCATATAGATGGCTGTGAGCCACCATGTGATTGCTGGGAATTGAACTCAGAACCTCTGGAAGAACAGCCAGTGCTCTTAACCTCTGAGCCATCTCTCCAGGCCCCGACCCCATAATATTGTTAAGCAATTGAAGGTGCTGGGTAGTGCTAGAAAATCACTGTTTTTGTTTGCTTTTGAAACTTTTCATGAGTGTTTAACACCAATGACCATTAAGAGAAAATTCCAGGAGGGCAGAGCATGTCCACTTACTCAATGCAGAGTTCAGGACTCAGTAAAGGACTTGGCAAGAAACAGATAGCCAGAAATCTCTGCTCAGTTAATCTCTGCTGTTACCTGTAAGTACTATGGCACTAAACAGGTCCCTTTGCACACGTTGGCCTATCCTAGGCAATTTTGGAAGACACGGGATGAAGATATTTCTTTATTCACACTTGCTTACAATCAATACCTACTACTCTGAAGTAACTAAGTATGACTTAAATTATATACTAGTCTTTGTACATAAAGCTCAGAACCAATCTCACCTCACTAGACTGAGTTTCCTGGACACAAGATGGAAGCACACTCAGTTACAACAGCTGACACAGCAAGCAGACAGGATCAAAATGTAAAGTTCGCAAAGCTGTCTTCTACAAAATACAAATATACAAATACAAGGTACCGGGGTGGAAAGATGGCTTGGAAGTTAAGAGCACTGGCTGCTCTTCCAGAGGTCCTGAGTTCAATTCCCAGCAACCATCCATAATGCCCTCTTCTGGCATGCAGACAGAACTATATGCATAATAAATAAATCTTAAAAAAAAAAAAAATACGTGCCTCCTGTTACTCCAAATCCACCCAAAGTAAAATACAATAGCAGACCAAAGTAAAGCAGCTGAGCTTCCTAGTTTACCAAAGGCAGGAAGAACCCACTGCAAATAAAAGCAAATCCATGCCATCAATTGTCTTCACATTTATGCATCAAAACAGGCCTCCCTCCTAGTCTGTGATCAGTAACAAGTCTCTCAGTGTGGTTCAGGAAGCCTCCACAGGCTACCGCTGATCAGTAGTCTCATGCAAAGGTGGGCGGTGGGGGTAAGAAGAGGAAGTTCCTGCAGTTCCCCTAGTAGCTTCCTCCACTACAGCAGAAGCAGCAAACTGGCATCAGCTTCAATTCTAAATGCCTGAAATGCACTTCATCTTTCTTGCCGTAGGGCTGGCTAACCTTGAGCTTCCTAAATGAGCTACCTCCCAAGTGCTGGGATACAGACATAAGCCAGCACATCCACTTAGACTTCCTTTAAATAAAAAAGCTTGTACTCTTTAGGAGTGGTCCCCAACAGCTCATGATCACTGCCTCCTTTCAGAACAGGTGACCTGTGCCAAGATCCAAGCTGTAAAAGCATTCACCTACCTGCCTTAGACCTTCAGGGATTTAAACTACTCTTTGTGTATGGATGTTTTCCCTGCTTGTCTGTGCACCACTTGCTGAGGCCAGAAGAGGGCATTGGATCCCTGGAACTGGAGTTACAGAACATTAGGAGCCACCCTATGAGTGCTGGTACTCAAACCACTCTCTATCCAGCCCCTCTCTTGCCCAGACTTTTTTTTTTTTCTTCCAAACAAAAATTTTAGGCACTCTGGCAATTTTTTTTTTTTTTTACAAGCACAACACAAACTTTTGCACAGGCCTTAAACTACACAGCATGAAGACAGTTAACAGGGAGTTAGTACTCGCTCTTAGTTAGCTCTCACTTAACTAAGAGGGGAAAAAACTGAGCCAGGATCTTGCAGTGCTGCCAAGACTGACTTTGAAGTCTGAGCCCCAGAGCAGCTGGGATTTTTTTTTTTTAAGATTTTATTTATTAGCTGGGAGGTGGTGGCACACATCTTGAATTCCAGCACTCGGGAGGCAGAGGCAAGCGGATCTCTGTGAGTTCAGGACCAGCCTGGTCTACAAGAGCTAGTTCCAGGACAGTCTCCAAAGTCACAGAGAAACGCTGTTTCGGAAAACCAAAAAAATATATATTTATTATTTATACAGTGTTCTGTAGTCACACCAGATCTCATTAGGGATGGTTGTGAGCCACCATATGGTTGCTGGGAATTGAACTCAGGACCTCTGGAAGAGCAGCCAGTGCTCTTAACCTCTGAGCTATCTCTCCAGTCCTGAGCAGCTGGGACTTTAGATGTGTACTACCACACCTACCTTAGTTGGGACATTTTAAGATTCAAGCACAAAGTCAGACTGACGTGAAGTACTTCATCCCTAAGAACTGCATCTCTGTAAGAAATACTAATTTGTAAACTATTTTCTCAACTACAGAAATCCAAACAGCCAACTCACAAGCCATAATAGCCATACTTTCTGAGACCTCAGAATATATACATCTTTTCCAGAATTTTGGTGGTCAAGGTTATAATCCAAAAAACAATAAAATCAGTTATTATACATACTTGAAAAACAGCTCAAGATTTAAAGATAATACAGCCAGGCAGTGGGGGCATATGCCTGTAATCCCAGCACCCGGGAGTCAGAGCAGGTGAATGTGTGTGATTTCCAGACCAGCCTGGTCTACAGAGCTAGTTGCAGGACAGCTAGGGCTGTAACACAAGAAAAACTCTGTCTTGAAAACAAAAAATAACACTAACATATCAAAATTTAAACGTTTAAATGTTTTGACATTGTGAACCAATAATATTGGTCAACTTAGCCAGGTGTGGTGGCCCACGCCTTTAATCCCAGTACTTGGGAGGCCCAGGCAGACAAATCTATGTGAGTTCCAGACCAGCCAGGTCTACAGAGTGAGTGCCAGGTGCCAAGACAGGCTTCAAAAAGCTACAAAGAAACCCTGTCTCCAAGGAGGGAAAAAAAAAAAAAGCCTCCAACATCGTTTGACAGCAGCTACTTTAGACAAAGGCATTAAAATGCTGCAACTGGCTGGGCGTTGGTGGCCCAAGCCTTTAATCCCAGCACTCCCAGGAAGCAAGGCAGGAGGATCTCTGTGAGTTCGAGACCAGCCTGGTCTACAGAGCAAGTTCCAGGGCAACCTCTAAAGCAATACAGAGAAACCCTGTCTCGAAAAAAACAAAAACAAACAAACAAACAAAAAAAGATGCAACTGCCAAAAGCCCCCGACAAGTGAACCATCCCTTTGTCATTTTGGACTACATCCCAATCCTACCACTCTTTTCTTTGGATCTCACTGTTCATCTGCACACTGTTTATTTCAATAGCAACCGAGCCAGGTTAATTCTACTTGAGTTTAAATTCAAGCGACCATCACAGTCAAACCATCACACTTAACAGGGCTTTAATTTGCAGTACAGGCTGAACATTCCTATGCTAAAATTTCAGGACACTCCAAAGCCCATTTCTTTTAGAGTTTTATGCCAGATTTTGGACTTCCAGACTAGGAACGCTAATCTGCTAAACCTACATATTCCATAAACTTCTGAAACCAGGCGTTTCGTGCTAAGGCATACTCAGCCTGTTGCACCTATATCACAAGATTATTGTGAATGGAGTTAAAACACACGACAGGAGCTTTAAGGAGGCCCTGGTGTGTAGTAAGCAGAGATTAGTCACCGAGAGGAGGCAGCTACTATGACAGGAAGGCGGCAGTAACTAAAAAGCATGCAACTTTTAGGACCAAGAACTTCAACTTGGGCCTTTTTGCTGGGGAATTTGCATACGCCTGTTACAGCGGCGTACAAGCAGCAAACTACCACAGGGATTCCTCCGAGAAAGCTAAGCAGAGCTGGAGGAAGCGTAGGCCGACTGCTCCAAGGATACCCCTGGGAAGAAGGGGTACTGCTGGCGACCCTGCACCCTTGAGGGGCCCACAGTCGGGTCGGAAGGCTCAGTGTGTGTGTCACTAAATTGGCTCCGCCTCCACCGCAGGCTCGTTGAGTCGGACCAGGGCGGTGTGCGGAGACCATGCAAAGCCCGGAAGGGCGAGGCGGCGGCCAGACCGCGCGAACGCCGTGGACCCCTTCCTTCCCAAGCGCTGTTTCAAAACGAGGCGCACCCAGGCCCACCTCGCTGGGGAGGCCTTGTCCCCTCAGGGAACCGCCTGCGCGGCTTCGCGTGCGCTCTCAGGCGGCGGGAACAAAGCGCGCTGACCTTCA